AAAAACTTCGTTTAGGAAGGATACAGGATGGGAAATAAAATACAACTCTAAACAGAACTATTTTGTCACTGGCTCCCTTTCCTCTCCGTTGAATTTCCTTTCATCCCCTCCCAAAGTCCCTCCTCTTATTGAGGAGCCTCAAATATGCAAATCTCTGTGTTAATAAGTATGTGAAACTGAGACAGCTATTCTTGGGTTTTGAATGTTTTCAAAAATCTATCTAAAAACTCCAAGATAATTGTTCCTAAAGCAGAGGGGATGCAGGGACTAAGGGGGTATGACTTACTTCTATGAAAGAGATTTAGCTCTCTGTCCTGTGTGGAACCATTTGACCAGATGTTGGGGTTCAGTGTGCCTTCTCTGTTTGCCATCTGTGACATCCCCAAGGGCTGGCATGAGAGGGGCACTTCTAAAGAGCATATGGAAATGACTTCCACGGAGCCCTGCAGAGCACGGAAGGCCAGCTTCTTGAGTGTGGATTGTCATCTCAGAGCCAAGTGACAGCCCAGCCCTGGTGGGCAGCTATACCTCCTACCCACAGCAGCTAGATTGTGAATGCAAGTGCTCACTAGCAGTACAAAGGAGAAATGCAGTGCTTTCTTCACAACAAACAATTCTGGTACCCAGGCATGGGCATGTAGCTTTTGACCTAGTTCCGGGTCACCAGGGCTTTGGTGCAATTTTGTGTTTTTTGAGCTGGGGATGACAGTTTGTCTTAGTTAGCTTTTCTGTCTCTGGGACAAACTACCTGACACCCACAGTTTAAAGGAAGAGAGGTTTAGGTTGGCTCATGGTTTTGGGGGACACAGTCCCTGTTCAGCTGGCTCCAAGGTGGAAGTATCATGGAGCAATGAGGTGGTAGAGGAAAGCTGCTCGCATCATGGCCACCAGGAAGCAGAGAGAGAGTCAGGGCCAAGAATACACCCTTCCAGGTCATTCCCCTAAGTGACCCACCTCCAACAGGCCCCACCTCCTAACAGCACATGTAGCCTGGAATGAGTGAGTGGAGATATCCACTGAAGAATACACCACCTCATGATGCAAACACCTCCCCAGAACCCCATCTCTGAACACACGAGACTTTTGAGGTTCAGTCTAGATGTAAATCATAACACTGCTGAGCAGTGGAACTGCTCCTCTTGGGCCCTTCACATGTGCACATTGAATTGGACATAGGTAAGCTGACCCAGTAAATTCACGTAGGCTGCAAGCCAATGGATCTGTAGCAGAGACTCGGAGTACACTCTAAGCTTCTCCCCAACACCTCCACCTGATCCCTCACCATCACTAGCAGCTGATGATTATTGGCCATTCAGTGACAGATAGCTCAGGTTTGGGAGGTTATTTGAAAGTTTTTGGAGGTGGAATATTTCCAGCAACTCTCATTCAGGTGTATTCCCAGCAGAGACAGACATCAGGTAGCTTGAGATATGATGTTCTAGAACTTTGGGAATGGGTGGGTTTGTGTCTGCTTAGAATTTCACTTCTTCCCTGATTCGGATGCCATTCTTGTAACTTAGCCAAATTAACTCATTAACTGTGTTAGAAGAGAATAAATAGAACCTGCAAGCAGTGCATGTAAATGAAACTTCTGATCATCACGGCAGAGTCCTTACCTACCGCTTCCCTCTCCCTCCCTCGCTCATAAACACAAATGTACTCGGAATTTGAGGAGCTGGACCTCTAGGGATTCCCCTGTCCTGAGCATATTAATGACGATGAAGGACCCAAAAATCAGTGATTTATGCAATTTAGCCGTCGTTCTCCCCAACCTCTCCGGGAGTTAGTAGACTGGAATAATTACAGACTAAATAGCGATGATAAGGAGGAAATGTACTGTAGTTGGAGTCAGTGGGCTGAGAAAACAAATGTTGCTGGTCTCAGGAGAATCTGTTTGCTGTTATGAAGGAGAAGGCCAGAGGCAGTGAGACCCCACTCTCATCTACAGAGCTCAGCAGCAGGGAAAGACTGTAAAGTTATCACAGAAAACAGGAGGTGACAGACACAAGACCCTTCCACATCCTGCTCTCTGCTCAGTCTCCCATTGGCCACCAGCGGACAAAGATTTCCATGCTGTTATTGGGGGATCAGTGTGATTACTTTGGAGCTCAAAGCTGCTTCTCAGGAAAAGGCAGGAGAAAACTTCTCTTATACAAAAGAGTGGAGAAACTTCCAGTTTGGAAGCAAGCTCAGTTTGCTCTTAGTAACTGTGAGGCTTCTTTTCAGAGCCTAAACAGAGCCTCCTTAGGGATTGCCCTAACCGACTAGCAGTGCTGCGTTTGTAAGCTGAATCCCTCTGAGGCCCAGGTCAAGGCTGGCCCAAGGCCACCATGGAGTGCCCGGGTACGCAGGAGCCTGCCCAGTGAGTATGGCTTCCTGCTGGAGACAATGCCTCTCTCATGTCTCCTTGAATCTCTCTACCTGGGTAGACAACGCTGTGACACTTCCCTGCAGCAAATAAAGGAGAGAAGAGAACTGGCATTGCTTCCTGAGATGAAAGCATGTGGTGTCACTCAGAGGGGTGGGGAGAAGAATGCCTGGGAAGACACTAAAGTATGCTGGTTACGCCTTCAAGGACAAGTAGTAAAAGAGAGAAGATGTTTTCTCACTTCTTGGGCAATATCTAAACAGCCTTAACAGCCTTCACCCTGGGAAGGAGAATGCCTGCCTGAGTCTAGCATGCTGACTCTGAATCAGCTCAGCACTTCCATTCAAAGTAACTGCATACCCAGGCAGCCCCTTTTCAGGTAAATTTTTCTTTAGAATAGCATCGCATGGCCAATGCAATAAAGTTTAGAGAAACAATAAAGCTCTAAGGAGAATCATGGAAGGATATGTGTGTAAAAGCTAAAGAATTCACAATCTGATCTGTTGTTGTATGGTCACAGGAAGGTATGCTCAAGATGGCAGACATCATGGTAAGATCTTCAGAGGACTCACCTTTTCCTTCTACCAAATTCTTCATGAGGGAGGCAGCCTTCGACCATGGTTGATCAGGGAAACTTTCTGAAGAGCTCTGCAAGAGCTGATTTTGCAGGAGGGCTTCTGGTGGCCCCAGGCCCCATAGTAACTGGATCTGCTGTGATACAGCTGTGGGGTGTTCTGCTCTTCTCCACCTGTGTGCTTGGTAGGACTCTCTTGAAGGAGAAGGGCTCCAGATGCTACCCTCAGGTCTACCTCTAAAACTCCCAGGAAGTTAAATGCTACAGTCTTCCGGGAGTCTCATGAAGCAGAGGCACAGGCATCTATGCCATTTTCAAGCCAGTACAGCACCCTAACTTCCAGGGTGTTGAGCTCATTAGTCTGAGTACCTCCATTGTGAGTCCCAAGACCTCAGTCCTTCCAGTCAGGGCTCTTGGTGTAGAAGGTATGCTAGGATTGAGAAATCGCACCTAGAACTCTACTACCCTGGTGCAGTGGTACCTCCATTCATGAACTTAGTAAGCTTTATGATTTGGGGGAAAGATGGCCACATTTGTGTTTGTGTGGGGAAGATGGCCTGGACTGTGTCTGTCACCTGATGTGGAGCTTGTGAGTTTGTTTGAAAATTGGTTTGTGAACAGAAGTGTTCATGAACTGAGGTGTTACTGTAATTACACCCAGAGCCTGGTTCTTAGCTTCCTCTGCCCTTTCACTATGAGGGCGAGTCTATATGATTCCATGTCATCCATTTAGCTGTACATTCACCTTATGTTGGTGATTAATTAACATCAGCTTTGTATCATCTTTCTCCAGCAAATCAGTGTTACTGAACAGCAACCATCTAATTTAATTATCCTTATAGCTATTACTTTCTTGTACCTCTCAAACACTGAGAGCTTATGCCTCTAGTTCATCCCTTCCCAATTCACCACCAGTGAGAATATCCCCCGCCCCAGTACCAGGGATCGAACTCTGGACCTTGCGCTTACCAGGCAGGTGTGCTGCCACTGAGTTGAATCCCTGGCCCCAGTGGGAATTTTAATAACTGTCCCATTACAGCATTCCAGAGGCTATCAGAACTGGACCCAACAATTTGGGTGGTTATGCTGGCCAGCAAATGACCCACCTGCTTCAAAATCTCTTTTGGGTCTCAGTCCTTAGACCACTCCTCCCATCAATTCCCTGTAGTCATGTTCCTGAGAGAATCTGGTGAGATGAAGGTTTTCATGCAGATGGTTTACTAGAAATTGCTTTGGGCAGCGATGTCTGAGAAGGAAGGAAGAGGCGTCTGAGCAGAAGCGCCTGGCTATGACACCGTTGTGACAGAGCCTTGGGTGGTCTCATGAGATGCTCTGGAGATGGGGACAGACCATCACAGTTATTCCAGACCGTGATGTAGGCTCACACTGCCCATAACCAGCTGCTGGACACAAGCTGCCCTTTGGGAGGGGCACAACCTTGAGTAGGGGGCACACTTCAGCTTAGGGTGAGTCACAAAGTGAATCGTTAATAATGACATCCTGGTAGAGGGACACACGTGCTGTGGTCCTGAGAGGGACCTGGGCAGTGCTCACCAGGTAGGGTCTCATCTGTACCTTGGCAGAGCTGCACTGGGTCCTCCTGCCTTAGCTGACTTCTTTCTGTCTCTCTCGTCTGACCTAAACTACTTGGCTCCCTGCTGTCTAACTGGCTGAGTTCTGATTGTGTGTGTATGAATAAACATGTACATGTGTATACATTTTGAGTAAGTCAAGCTGAATTTCAGCAAATTTCCAGAACACCAAAACTGTTTTTGCAGAAAGAAAGAAAACACAGATCTAGATGGTTCCATTCTAGAGGATGATGCCACAGGGGGGACTTTGACCAGTGGTCCCTCCATGTGCTGCTGTGACCCTGGGAGGGGCTGAGAGAGAGAGGAGAGCAGGGAGCCATGGGAAAGAGGAGAGGGGCCCAAGAGGTTGATTTGGCCCTAGATGTGAAATACACCATCCAGATGAGCCCTGGGGGAGCACTTCCGCTTTGTCTTGCAGGGGTGAGGACACGGAAAGAAAGGACTGGACGGTGGTGTTTCCCATGGAAACCACCCAAGCAGCTTGCTAAACATGCCCATTCCCTGTGGCTTAAATATTAAGTGACCCCCGTGACTCACATAGGGGACTTGGTCCCAAATAAAGCAATGATTCGAGGGGGGCTTTGGGAAGATGGTGGATCAGGAGAGGGCTCAGCTCATCTGTGGATTAATCCATCCCTAGCTGAACGTGCTGTTAGAAGGTGGGGCTGGTGGGAAGGTGGGCCCCGGGGTGTGCCCTGGAAGGTGCACTCTTGTCCGCAGCTCCTTCTCTCCCTTGCTGCTTCTTGTCCCCAAAGTGAGCAGCTTTTCCCCGCACACAATTCCACCGTCGTGTTTCTGCCTCGGGCAGCTGCCCATTGCGCTGAAATCTCTGAAAGCATAAACCAAAATAAACTTATTCTCCTTCTCATCGTGTCTATCAGGGGTTTTGCCCAGCGATGGCAAAGTGACTGATGCACCATCCCAGAACCCAGTTCGGACATGCTGAATGGTGGTCAAGGGACTGGAATTGCAAAATCGGTAGCTGTGCCTGCTTTGTAGGTTGGTCTGATGGAATCTGAAGGCAGAACACTTTCCTCTCATTGTGATGTCGGGATGGTTGTTCTGGGCTCATTGCAGGGCCCCTGGCTGCCTGCTAAGGAATTCTTGACAGTGGCAAGTAAGACTTACAGTGCACTGGAAAGTCAGGTTGTTTGCAGGAAAGCAGGCTTCTGCCCTTATAGACTTCCATGGAGTTTGGTCACTGTTCTTTAGGGGAAGAGGGCATCTGAGTCTCACAGAACCTTGTCACAATCTGCAGGGTTGTTCGCTTTGTTCAGCGACAAGGGGCCACTGCAGGGAGAGGGAGGAGGCAGATGGCAACACTGCCCGCCCTGCACACAGAGTGGTGTCCAAACCTGAGCCTCTGGGCTACAAGCTGATGCTTTCCAAAAGCAGGACTCTGTTCGAGCTAAGTCCCTAGACTAGGGCTAGTTGAGGGGACAGTGGCTACCACACATTTATCCCACAAGGCATCTCTCAAAGTTGTCAAAACACGGTCACTAAGCCTGATTCTGCAGTAGCACATTGCCAAAAGAAATCTGGATTAAAACATTTCTCCCAAATGCTCAGATATTTGAAAACGGGTAAAGACCGAATAGCCAAGTGACTGACAGATTTGTTCCACTTTCATTTTTTAAGGGAACTAATTATATAATGTCCATCACAAGAAGAGTTAGTGAATCCTAGAACTTAGATCTTTATGTCTTAGAGACAATAGACTCTTAAGTCAACAAACAAAATAACAGATAGAAGAACATTCCCTATTAGGATCTTGTTTAACTCTGGCCCTATAGGCTACTTTTGGTTCCCTCACTGCCTGGCTCTCAAACAGGAAGCAGAAAGAGGGTCTGGCCTGTCCTGGGCCAGTAATCGAGGATGGGAGGCAGATTCCCTAGAGGTCCAGGAGGCCGGAATATCTGTTTCCAACCTGTCACAGCCCCAGTGTCAAGACACAATCTCTCCCCTCACTCTCTGGTGACAGGAGACACCTAGGGCTACATGGGGAAAGCTACGTAATGTTGTAGAAGAGCTACAGAGGGGGCTGGGGATTTACCTCAGTGGTGCCGCTGCCTGCCTTACAAGGTCTGGGCAAGAAACTGTTAATTTCTGCTAAAGCCCTGATTCTTTCTAGTACGAAAGACCATAGTTTCCTAGAAGGTAAATAGCTGGATCAAATGAAATTTCTAGCCTTAGTTTCTTGAAGAACTACCCACATTGATTTCCATAGAGGCTCTACTAGTTTAATTCCTACCAACAATGTAGAAGTGTTCCCTTTCCCTCAGCCTTGTCAGCTTTTGTTGATTTCTTCTTCTTTTTTTTTTTTTGGAGGGGTACCGGGAATCAAACTCAAGACTTTGTGCTTGCCACGCAGGTGTGGTGCCACTGAGCTAGATCCCCAGTCCTGTTGTTTGATTTCTGGATGATGACCACTCTTTCTGGGGTAAGGTGGAATATCAGTGTTGTTTTAATTTGCTTTTTTCTAATGGCCAGCAATGTAGAGTGCTTCTTGAGAACATAAGTGAAATAAGTTAGATACACAAGCTTAAATATCACAGGGTTTGTCATATGACAAACTCGAATTACAAATAAAGGATAGATAACAGGAAGTAGAGAGATAGATCCTTCTCAAATGGGAAGGGAATCAAGAGATGGAGGGAGGGGAGAGAGGAGGGAAAGGGGATGAAAAGAGAAATTAAAATGTGTTACATACATGTGCCAATTCTAAGCAAGAAATACAAATGTTATGTACTGCAAATATGTACTAATAAAAATTTAAAATTTTTTTCATAGATATTAAAAAAAAATTTATATGGCAAAAAAGAAAACCAACCCAGCTGTTTTCAGTCCTCAGACAGAAGGGTCTCAGAGCTGCTTAGCCTCTGATGTCGGCTACATATTGCTCCTCCCCCAAAGGCTCTTGTTCTAGAAGTTTGGTCTGCAATGTAATGATATTGAGAAGAGGTGAGATCTTTAAGAGGTGGGAGGTGATAGATCATGAATTAATTTGTGTAGTTTGTCCAAGACAGAGTTAGTTCTCTCCAGACTGGACAGGGTCTTGTAGGAGCGAGTTAGACCTCACAGGACTAGATCAGTTACCACGAGAGCAGGTTGACATGGGCAGGTCGGCCATGTGCTGATTGCGCAGTCACCCGCTCCCCTCTCTGTTTTCTTGCCCTGTTGAAGCCCTCACCAGAAGTTGACAGACCACGCCCCAGGTTCTGTGCTCCTAGGCTTTCCTACCTCCACAACTGTGAGCCAAAATAAACTTCTTTCTCTTTTTAAATGATCCAGTTCGTGGCATTTTGTTACAGCAGTACAAAGTGGACTGAGCACCTTCCTGAGGCTGGTGTCTGTGGAAGCTGAGACTGGGTAGTTTACTCCTTGTGTTACGCAGGTCATCCCCAGCCACTGTGTCACTGTGTCGGTGAGCTTCCCGTTACCGTAACAAGCACTTAAGATAATGAGCTGATAGAGGGCAAAGGTTTATTGTGGCTCATGGCTTTGGAGGATTCACTTCTATACCAGTTGGCCCTGTTGCTTTTGAGCCAGTAGTGAGGCATGGTGACAGGAAGCAAGTGGGGTAACAATGCCACTCATCTGGTGGTCACAATATAAGGAACAAAGGAAGGCAGGGCTCAGTTCCTATTTTTGCCTTCAAGAGCACTGGGCCTCATCTCTTAAAATTTCTACCAACACCCAAGAGTGCCAAGCTGGGGACCAACCTTCAGTATGCCAGTCTTTGGGGGATGGCCCATACCTAGCAGTCACAGAGGCACAAACGTCAAGAACCAGAGCAGACTGTGGGGTGTCCTTGGAGTGGTGCTGTCACTTTATCCCAAGGTCCTCCTGGACTTTGATCTAGGTCCCCTGGCTCTGCCCACTTCCTTTTCTTTGATACCATCCTTTCATCTGTGTAAATTATTCCATGCCTTTCTAATTTCTACCCACTAAGCTTAAAATACTCAGCCTGCCATACTGGAAGACTCACCTGCTCCAACTTAGTTTGACTGGGCAACATTCCTGTCCTCTCACATGCTGGTCCTGCTTGTCTAACGCACCTTATTTCGAGGACCTTGCTGACGTTGTTTCTCTGATCATAAATGGCCTTTCTTTAGCACCATCTAATAATATGTGTCCTTCCTGTAGGTGCTACATAAAATCTTCTTTTTTGGTGAAGATCTCTTTGACTTTTCCAAGGTATGCATGTCTCTCTTCTCTACTGTCTTATGGGATCTAGAGACAAAACAGCACAGACTCTGAAGTACCTCCTGTTTAATAATGTTTGCATGGTACTTGCATTAACTGTTTTTGCCCTAAAAAAAAAAAAAAACCCTTTAAGGAAGAAAGCCAAATATTCCTATGCTGGTGGGCATGCAGTCCGTTTTTGTTGAATACTGGCTAATGGCACTATTAGGGACTTTGTTGGATTTGATTTTTTTCAGGGCTGTTGAAGGATGTGGTGCTTCCCTACTGCACTGGAGTTGTGGATGCACTCTGGAACTTCGTCCTTCTAAGGTTGCCCTAGGCACTCGAATAATTTAATTCTATCCTGGGAACATGATAAGAGGTACAATTAAAAATATGGTGAATGGTGCTGCCCAGTGCCATCAACTAAAAGGATCATAAAACACTGTGGTGTGTCTTCACCTACACCACTCACCAGATCAGGCACCCTGCAACTTCTGCCTCTTTCTCAGTCAAAAATGACCATGGAGACAGTTACGGTTTATACCTAGAGTCCACCTAATGCTTCAAGTACTCATCGCTGAGGCTTTTAGGAGGCGACCGGATCATAGTAGGCGTGATGCTCCCAAGAGATTGGTCCACTGATGAGTTTATGGCTAAATGTAAAGTTGGGAGGTGAAGCCTGGTTGGAGGAGATGGGACACTGGGGGCGTGGCCTGCAAGGGTCCATCTTCCAGCTCCGCCCTTCACAAGCTCTCCACTTCTCCTCTACCACGCCCCTCTGCTATGCCATCCTGCCTTGGAGCCAGCCGGCTATTGACTGAAAGATAAGTTAAAATCAACCTTTCTTCCTTGCAGTTGTGGTATTGGGTATTTTGTCCCAGCAATGAGAAAATTAACTAAACCCTTTGAATCAATTCAGGACACAGAGGCAGCTGCCACAGTGAAACTATAGACAATCACAGGAGGACTTTGGGCACTGCTTCAGGAAGTGGCAAGAACACTGGGACATGTGCACTTGAAGCAAGAGGGAGTTTTCTGAGCAGGATTAATGGCTGTGTGCCTCTTACTGTAATATAGTTTTAAAATTTAAATATTCACGATATTTTGTGCTCACACCTCCTACATTCTCTCTGGTGAGGCAGTCAGGATAGACTGAGAAAAAGAAACCACCCCAAAGTCTTAGTGGGACTCACGGATGCTAGGATTGAACTTGGCTCAAACCTGTCCCCACCCCAAGCCTTTGCACCCTTCCAGACTGGAAACCACATCAACCACAAGCTGTTGAAACTGGGCAATGGAAGGGGAGATTCTTAGAAGCTGCTTGTGGCTGTTGACACCATGCTGTCTGACTGGACAGGTATTCTCTTCTTAACAAACCAGCAGCCATAGGCTTTTCTTGGCTCCAGGTGAAGAGGTGATTTCCTTCTCCGATGCAGTGTTCATAATTGGCTGTTAGTCGAGGTGATGAGAAAACAATGCTAATGAGGTCAGGGTTCGATGCCCTCTTGGGTCAGTCAGGGAGCCTTTGTTCTTTGGCCGAAGTCTACACCCTCCAGTGTGTCCTGTTACCATGATGACAACAGAGACTGGTGGAGAGGACCAGAATGCAGATGACCCTTGCAATCCTGTCCTTCTTAAAAGCAACTCTGCATTCACGTCTTTCTGTCAACAAACTCATCTTCTGGCATGAAGGACAACCTGTCAGGAAACAGTAAAGGAGACAGAAGGACCGACTCCTCTGTGGTGTCAGCAGGCTGAAGCTCCAGGATCGCTGGCTGCAGCTACAACATGAGCTTGGACATTTGTGCAAAGACTTAAGTGCAGAGACAGTGGCAACAGGATAATCACCCCACCCCCGACAGTATTTGTCAATTCTTCTTTATTTTTTATTTTTTTTTTTTTGGTGCCAACTTGGGACCTTGTGCTTGTGAGGTAGGGGGCAGAACCATTGAGCTAAATCCCCAGTCCACTTGTCAATTCTCATTAGGCAACGGCCAACACTTTCTAGGTGATGGTGTAAGAAGTAAAATAGATTGGTTTGAATTTTATGCCTTCTTCCTCCTGCCCTTCTCCTTCGTCTTTTCTCCTTCTTTTCCTCCTCCTCCTTCTTCTCCACCAACACTGTCTTTTAGAGATCTTAATGAGTAATAAAATGTCTGTGGACAGAAAAAGAACATGATCCGAGTACTCCTTCAACTAAGAGCTAAGCCCTGGAGTGACTTGGATCTGGCTTTTTACCACAATTTATGATTCTGCCATGCTATTCCTCAAAAATTATCCTCTCTTTTGTGATGCTGTGTGGTGATATGAATTAGAGAAGTAATTACTATAGCATGATGGGAAAACTATGAGGTATGACAGAAAAACACAGTGAATATTTAAATTTTAAACATTTATTCCAGTAAAATACACATTGTCATTAATTCTCCCCAAATCCTATCCATTGCTTTGAACACACTTATCCCATCTTGCCACTTTCTGAAACGGTTCTGGAAGTCCTTTCATGAGTGTCATTCGTCTCCCTGTTGTAGCTATCTTGATTTCCTGAACTGATTCAAAATGTTTACTTTTCATGGTCATTTTGGGGAAGAGCCAGAAGTCACATGGTGCCAGATCAGTGCATAAAGTGGATGAGGACACAGCAGAATGTTTTACTGGCCTGCCTTTCCACTGGATGGCACTCAGCAGCAGCATTCACTGTATTTTTTTTTTTAATCATATCTTGTAAAGACATGAAACAGGACTCCTCATAGGGCTGTTGGAAGAATTATGTCATTGTATGTGAAGTCTGGCAGGTCTAGTGTGGTTCTGACATATTTTAAGTGTTTTCCATAATGAGCAGATCTCTTAAGAGATTGCATACATTTATGGTAAATTTCCCCATTTGCCATATGTGTAGACCATCCATTGTTAAGTTCTCATTAGTAGGTGCTGCTAATTCCTTCATGTTGCCCCTTTGTGGTCAAAGCATCTCCACCATCCCTAACTTAGGGTAACCATTCCTACAAGACTTCCTTTTTGAGAGGCCAACGCAGTGTATAACCTTTTGGGATTGGCTTTCTTCACTCAACATAAGGCCTTTGAGATTCTTCCATGTTGTGTAGTAATAGTTCATTCCTTTTCACAGCTCAGCAGTATTACATTGCTTAGATATGAATATAGGATAGTTTATCATTTTACTTGTTGAAGAACATTTGAATTGTTTCTAGTTTTGAAGATTATGAATAATGTTGCTCTAACTATTCACACACGTTTGTATGTGACCTTAATCTCTCATTTTTCTAGGTTAAAGAGCTAGGAGTGGGTCTACTGTGGCATTTTTAAATCTATTAAAAATTGCCAACTTTTCCACAGTGCCTAATTTTGCATTCCCTCTAGCAGTGGATGAGCATTCCAGTTGCCCCATATCCTTGCCAACACCTGATACTGTCGTCATTTTAGCCATTCCACAATAAGTAGTGGTGTTTCACAGCAGCTTAATTTGCATTTCCCTCATAGCTAAGGATGTTGAGGACGTTTCACATCTTTACCATGTGTATCTTTGGTGAAGTTTCCAAATACTTCACTTACTTACCTAATTGGATGAATTGTTTTCTTACTGTTGAGTTCTGAGAATTCTGTATGTACTCTAGATACTAGTAGCTGGTCAAATATGTGATTTGCAAAGATTCTTTCCCAGTCCATAGCTTGACTTTTTATTCCCTTCATCACAGGATTTTATAAGGACTAATGAGTTAACACACTAAGTCCTTTGAAAAATAAACTCCTGTGACCATACATACATATATATATATATATATATATGATCATTATATACACACATGCACACAGACATATAATGTGTATTATACATACATGTGAGTGTATTTATAGAAAAATCTGAGTTTAAATCCTGGTTCACTTAGCCACTCACTCCTTTGCTGTGGACTAATCCGTTAGCTTCTACGTCTGTAAACTATAGGTAGTAATAAAACCACACAGGGCTGCTAGGAAAAGTAAATGAGGTAACCATAGTCCAGTACCCGAACATTTTCAATGTTCTATAAATGCTAAGATTATATTTGAATTAAAGCATTATGTCATCTGAAAGCCTTTGCCTAAGCTGCTCCTTCTGTTTGGACTGATCTTTGGCCCCCACCCCAAACTCCTTACCCCTGATTCCCATGAATTTGTCTCTGCCTCAGACAAATCCTACTCAGAGGACAGCTCCAATGGGACCAGGTGCCCCATGCTGGCACTCCTGTTGTGCTCTCGTGGTTCCATCACAGTTTCCATCCTTGAAGGTCAGGAAACTGTGAGCAACTTCAGGGCCCAGATCGTGTCTACATTTGCTTCAAATAGTGCCCGTCTGTGTTGTGTGGTGGATGACTGCAGCCATACATGCACGAATGAACAAATGAAGGGATGAATGAGTGAATCTGCTTTGTCTAGGAGTTCCAACTGGACATTTTTTTTTGAGCACTGCTGCATTCAGTCCCTTAAAGACAGCCTTAAATGGTACAAATGGGTGTCTGTGACTTATACCAGGACCTTGCCTGCAGTCAGTCAAACTGACTGTGCATCTTTGACAAGTTGGACGCTGAATGGAGAAACTTGAATGCTTCGCATCTATTTACTTTTACCACATGCCATAAAAATTAAAAATACATTGTACCACAAATGCAGTATTTAGTGTCTCACTTTAATTACATTCAAGTGTGTTACTAAATAGTCTTGAGAAAACCTTAATGACCAGCTGTTCTACCCTTTCCCCATATGTCAGAGATGGTTTCTGAAATCACATTCTGGGACAGTAAGGTTGTATAATTAGTCAGTGTAGAGTTAACACTTCTAGATTTTCCCCTTAAACTGTGGACCCTTTACACTAACATATTGCGTGATTCTGCCAGTTTGGCACAATCCAATTAAATGACGTGCCAAACAGCCACTGAGATATGCAAACTCCATCCGACATGTTATGATAGCATCATTATCTCCTCATAGCTTTTCATCGTTAGGACTGTATGCTTTGGGGTGTGTGTGTGTGTGTGTGTGTGCACGTTATGCAATATTCAGAATGTACAGCTGACAAACTTGGTAAAGAGGACGGCTGACAAACTTGGTAAAGAGGGCTCTAAATTTTTAATATTCCCTTCATAATGCCATTTATCTCATTAGAATTAACTGTGCAAGTGGCTGGTGCATCCTTTTGAACAAAGAGCTATCACTCAAATATATAGCAACCATTCAAGGAAACAAAACCAAACTAAAATTCCCACGGTTGTTAACCAGAGATGATATTTTACATCATTCTGCTGCAGGAGAAGGGGATTTTATCTAACCCCAAACCAGATCTGAGAAATAAAAGAAGTTGAATTTAGACAAACAATTGATTATTGTGAAAAGAAGTCATTAGTCCTTTGCAGTTGCTCCACTCTGATCTTAATGAGTTGTTTTGAAAACACAATGATAATTTGTTTGATTCCATTTGGCTAATTCTTTGAGTATAGGCAGAGACCAAAATAGAAACATAAAATAAGGAAAGGGGAAAGTTTCATCAACTAGATAATAATTTTTGGTTGTCCCCTCCTTCCCCCCATAAAGAAAATGTCCTTCACGTTGTCCCAAATCACAAGTCAAAAATGCAACTCTGATTTCTGATGAGAACTGCCCTTAGCAATATGAGACCAAGTCACAGCTCAACTTTCTTGAGGTCTAACGCATCAAACTCATTTTTTCAAAAGGCTAAGAGAGAGCCTCCGCCTTCTGATAAGACCCATTTACGACACTTTTCTTCTCTGTGCTTTGCAGTGACTTATTTAGATGTAAGCACTGACAACTGCAATCATGTTTTAAATCTTGCTTTGTATACTTCTATAATGTTGTCCAATTAATATTCAGAATAATGGAAGCGTGTGTCATTTTGAAAAAAAAAAAAACTTGAACACAATCCAACGCTTTGGGAAGCTAACTCTCCAGAGGATCGATCAGCATTTAAAACTTGCATTAATAAAAATCTGATTTTCTGCCATGCAGCACACATAATACTTTTCATTTTTAAACATTTTAGCTTAATAATATGCCACCCTTTGTCCCGATGTTTAAAGAGATTTAAAAATTGAGCTCCCTCAGAGCAATTCTGCCCCGCCCCTCACATAGAACTGGAGGTCTGCTGTTGAAGGTGTAAGGATGCCCCGTGCATGGTGTGCCATACTGTATTTTCATCACTCAGTTTAAGGGCAAGAGTAGAATGCACCTTGGTTCTTAACATTTCCTTTAGTTCCTCCAATTTATATCCAAAGAGTTTCCAGTTTTCCTTCAACTATTTGGATTGATATGGCCAATTACTGTGTCACAAAGTTCTGGTAAAGTCAGAATGTAAGTATTTATGCACACATATATGCACATCTCTCTCTCTCTCTCCTCTACCAGACTATCAAATGCAGTGATGCAATAA